AGATGAAACACCATGATAGCCTTACATTAACTGATTCTAGAGGAAAATACTAAAAAAAAGTGGTCACATGAAATAACATTTTTGTTAGTACTGAGCTCCAAAGTCACCTAGATTATTTTTTTCCATTGTCTATTTTCATGTGAGTGATGGCAGGTGCTTTTGTTATTCATAACTTTTCTTTAGTTCTACATGATGATAATGAAATCATACAAAAGAAGTATGTGGCTTATTAGAATATTTGAATAGTGCACTTAAGGCTGTAAATCAGGTCTTATTATAATTCCTTCTTAATTGTTTGTTCATATTTTTCCCTTTGGATTCTAATTTTTCAGTGCCAAGATAGATATTGTTATACATTTCCAAAAATTAATTGTACTCATGTGTAAATGAATAAAACCTATGTTCTTCATAGAAAACACACATGCATATCAAATACAAGCACACACACAACTACAGTTCAAAGCATGAATCACTCTTAGGCTTTTGAGAGCATGCCTCTAGCTTGTTGTCCTAATGAAGAGTTGTGAGCCTGCTAAAAATGTTTCATTTCTAAATTTTCTAGATAAAAGTAGTTAAGGTTTTGACCATCTGCTAGTTTTGTTTTATTTGTTGTTTATTTATTGATGTGAAAATAAATTTACCTGAGTTTGTGTAATATAAGCTATTGGACTTTGTATAAATTGTTATACTAGGCTTTAAGATTTATAATGAGTTTTAAATTAACAGTAATTCTATTTCTCATTATCAGATTAATAATACTTAATAAGAAAAACACTCTTGTAGGTGTAGGTAAATTGTAAGAGCCAGAAAGCTCACTAGCAAAATAGCATTGTTTTAGTTGTGTTTTTCTCTTTCTATGTAAGAAACTTGTTAAAGACTTTTTTTTTCCCATTTAGGGAACACTTTTTAGTAATTGACTTCCACCAGACACATTTCTGGTAGATTTGTTTCCTCCCTTAATTTGGTCAGGTAACATGGGGGAAGAAATGGTCAGGGTACCTAAATAGAATTTGTGACCAAAGTTAGAACTGGGAATCTTTTCAATTATTTTGTTGAAAAATATATGTGACTTTTTATAATATTTGTCACTGTTTTCATTGAGCCAATGAGAATAGAAAATAGGAACCTGTAAAAAATTCATTGAACTTGGGTCTTGTTCGTCATTGTATCACTGGATTTGTTGAGTAAATGGGTGTGCTTTCCTGGGAAAAGATATCACTATTTGTTATGCTCGAAGTGGATAGTGATACCAAGATACCTTATCACTGTCTACGCAACTTGACAAAGATGTAGAGGAAAAACTTGTAATGGATCCCACAACCTCAAATTGAACACAACATATTAAGCACTCTTTTGTGAATAAGGCCTGAAATCACTAGTTTTTAGGGGCAGTTTGGGGTGGTGAGTCAGTAAAGGAAAACAGTCATTTGGTTTGCTTCCTAATTGGGATTATCAGTGGCTACAAATACTGAAGTCAGATAGGATGATCTGAATACCATCTATCCCCCTTCACTTTCAACTTTTCTATACTCATATTGATACTTGCCAGTATCAGCAAAGGGAAAAGAAGCCCAGGGCTGGGAAGAAAGCTTATGCAATAAGTTGGTGAGCTTATGCAGCTCAATAAAAACTGATGACCCAATGTTATTTCAAGGACATATTATTCTAAATCTGAAAGGAATGTTGCAACCTAATCCTTACCGTCTTCACTCACCTGCTTCCAGTGAGGACTGCTACTGACGACGAGCTTAAAAAGCCTTGAAGAGGAATTTAGATTTGAGCCAATACACAACAACACAACCAGGCTTGTATTCCCTTAAAAATCCTGTCTTCCTGAGTATGTATACCAATATTATGGAAAATTATGTATGTGTTTCACCCACACTGATATGTTTTTGTTTTTGGCTTAAGACATTAAGGAAATCTGACACCCTTTTGAGGCTTCTTAATCACATGCTTTAAAAATATTTCAGAGACAATGGATTAAAATAATTGCGTAGAGGATGAGTGGTGGCATGGGAGAGTTTTCACAAACTTTTGTAGTCATAGAGATTTTTTTTACAAGAAGAGCTTGTAAGGAGAGGCATGAGGAAAGAGATAGAAGAGGCTGAGCATTGAAAGTGGGAGGTTACCTGCTACACCTGTCGGTACGATGGAGGGTATGTTGACCTGGAGGAGGATTTCTTGATGCTGAGCTTGAGTCCTTCTTCCCTTACCTACGTTTGTTGGGAATGTGGAACAGCTGCTCATCACCCATATGATTCCATTATTTAATCTGCCAGCTTTTTTCTGGGAATGAAATAATCCTGATTCTTCTAAGCTTTCATCATGGTATCTGTTTCCCTGCTTTATAGTCATTTTCACCAAGTTCTTCTCCAACTCTCTTCATCACAATTACAACTGGGAGCTCCAGAAGGGAATAACGCCGCTGAATGTAATGGGAACATGACTAAGACTGTTTTCAAAAGCATCCTCCATGGGCACAGATAAAGTACTGTACAGTTTTACTTCATTATGTGGTCTGATTTCAGTAATTGGGTTTAGAGGAGACATTGCCCAAAGAAGGGGAAATCACCAGTTTCAATTATTATTATTATTTTTAATTTCTGAAAGGGGAAATTTCAGTAGTATTCTGTATTTGTCCTTCATTTCCCTCAGATTTTTTCTATGTGTTAATCTGATCTTTATGGACAAACACATTGTATTCTGCTTATTTTAATTGGAGTTAAAAGTATACTAATGGCTTCTGTCAGTGATAACATTCATTTATTCATCCATTTATGCACTCAAGCCATATGTTTGAACTGCTAGCAAGAGAAAAGGTATATTCTAGGTGATAGGATTAAAATAGTGAATAAAGATAGATATAGTACCTACAGTCTTGTGGTAGAGAAAGGTATTATATAGATGCTTATGTAGTTGAAAATTGAAATATAAGAGATAAAAGAAAGAGCAAAGTTGTATGAGAATGTAAATAAAGAAAACGCACTAGGGACAAAACAAGGCTTCTCCTGGGAAAACGAAGGCGCTGGAGCTGACATTTGGTGGATGAGTTAATTGGACCAAGAGGCAAAGGTGTTGGAGAACTGCATTCTCTGTAGAGGGAGCAGCATATTCAAAAAGTATTATATATTTTTTATACTGTTAGCAGATTTAAATTTCCTTAAATTTTATTGTCTCCTTTAATTATTTTAATTTGAATTACCTGTTTTCCCTTCATTCTGTCATAAGGAGTCTCTCATTTGAGTTTCTATTGTATGCTGATCCTGTATTAAGGGATTTGAATTTTTCCTGATTAAATAACAAAATTTCATATCGTGTTATACCATTCCTTAGGGCTCCACTTTGAATAAAAAACAGCCAGTGGCTTTCACTTTTCATCCTAGACTTTGTTTAGTGCAACACTTTCTAAACCCTCCGTAAATCCCTGTAGTCATGTCTGTGTAGACATACATTGTTACAGAGGCACTCTGTCCTTTTTTCTGCTTTTGGAGAATGGTGCAAAATTTTCCCAAATTCTAAGACAGTTTTATTGAATAGGACAGTCACCTTATAAAATGGCGATAAACATACATGACCCTCCTACATATCCCAGTAGCTCTATAGTTCTGCTTTGAGCTGCCTGATTAATTGACTCCCCAAGTCCCTCCCTAAATTCTTGATTAGTTAAGATTCCCCACATTCCTGACTTTTCCTTGAATTCTGTAGTCTCTAAAATTTGACTTACCCATCCTGACTGTTGCCTACTCTTTAAATATCTTAGTTTGGAGCCCTGATTGACAGTCCCTGCATGGTTGTTCTTCATGCACATATGAACATTACATTCTCATGTGCCCTCGAACTGTGGGTTTGTTTGGTGTCTTTTAAATCATTCATAGAGAAAAAATGCAGGAAACTCAAACAAGATAGATAATATGATATAAAACAATGTTTAGAATATGGTCCTTCTTGGCTGGGCGTGGTGACTCACACCTGTAATCCTAGCACTTTGGGAGGCTAAGGAGGATGGATCATGAGGTCAAAAGATCAAGACCATCCTGGCCAACATGGTGAAACCCCTTCTCTGAGAAAACTACAAAAGTTAGCTGGGCGTGGTGGCACGCACTACTCAGGCACTTCCCGAGTAGTCCCAGCTACTCAGGAAGCTGAAGCAGGAGAATCGCTTGCACCCAGGAGGTGGAGGTTACAGGGAGCCAAGATTGCACCACTGTACTCCAGCCTGGTGTCAGAGCAAGATTCCATCTCAAAAAAAAAAAAAAAAAAAAATAGCCGGGCCTGGTGGCACACACCTGTAGTCCCAGCTACTCAGGAGGCTGAGGCAGGAGAATCGCTTGAACCTGGGAGGGGGAGGTTTCAGTGAGCTGAGATCGCATCACTGCACTCCAGCCTGGCGACAGTGCAAGGAGACTCTGTCTCAGAAAAAAAAAAAAAAAAAAAAAGAATATGGTCCTTCTCTTCAAAAGAAGAACTAACAGTAAAAGGATTTCCATTTTCAGTGGCAATACCTTTGATTATTAAGGTTGTTCATCACTTCACTTTGTGAGGCAGGAAGAATGACTTATCCAAATCATTCATTTTGTTATGAAAAGAGTATTTTATTCAAGTGGGCACATTCATTCTTCCACATTGAGCTCTGTGGACTCCTAGATGATATGAGGATACTAACTAGATCTAGATAACTCCTACTTCTCTAGTGTCCCTCTCTTCACCCTTCTGCTCTCAGGCTTACCAAATTATGGACATGACTCATTTCTCTCCATATTCTATTACTCATACATCTTGACGAATATTCAAACAATATGGCAAAGATTGAGCAGTGCTTTTTCTTTTTCTTAACTCTAAAACTTCTTGATGGTCTGTTATCTTCTGGGCTCCCCTTCTTCATCCACCTGTTTCTCTTATTTGCTTTTGAGCTTCATTAGACCTCCCATTATGATAGTTTTCTTCTCTACAAAAGTGCAAAAGAGAAATGAAACATAAATACTTTCTCCTCTAACTAGATATAAGGAGTTTGCCAAATTGCAACATCAGAGGAAACAGTCCCCACAAGACTGCTCTCACCTTTGGACAGCAATTGTAAGTTCAGAGATTTCCCAAAACCACACTCAGTTTTGATAACCTGCTATTATGACTCACAGAACTCAGGAAAGTGCTATATTTGTGATTAGTTTTCTATTGAAAGGAGGCAAATGAGAACTGGTCAAAGAAAGAGACACACTGGGCAAATTCTGGGAGGCAAAGTTTCTGGTCGTCTCCCGGTGGAATCCTGGATGGCATTACCTCCTCCAGGCTACTACGTGAGACAATACTCAACCAGTGCTGCCCAGGAGGGAGCCTCACTTGATCTTCAGTATCTAAAGTTTTCATGGGAGCTTCATTATGTGGGAATAATTTATTGCCATGTTTCCAGCTCTCCTCCCTCACTGGAACACCACATGTTCCAAGGGGTCGACCATAAATTACTTCATTAGCATAAACTGTTCAGGTGTGCTTGAGGGTTCATTACAAATTACAAATACACTCTAACGTGCATAAGTTCCAAGGGTGTAGAGATCACCTCCTGAAAGTCAGGATTCATTCTTACACAGTAGTTAATATAAGTTAAGAAAATCTGTCACTCTTTTAACTAACATATTTTTATAATATATTACTATGTATTATATGTCTAAACATATTATAACATATTCCATTTATAGTAAATAAATATGTATGATATGAGATCAAGATATCTGTGAAAATGATCAGTTGTTTGGATTATGAACTCCGAATGATATTTTCTTTTGAAGGATCTTTTATAGTCATGGGACGAAGTAAGTCACCACTAGAGGTATCATTATATATACAGTATTAGCATACCTACCTGAACCTCATTTTGTGGGAAAATGCCTCCCAATCTTTCATTTATTTATTAATTGGAATTATTTCATTCCTTTGCCATTTAAAATGCATTACTTGAGAATCTAGGGTGGGTCAGGCACTATGTTATAAATTTTGTGATGAGAGCAACATAGTTCCTGTCTTTGAAGAGCTACCATTCTATTGCAGGAGGCAGTGAGAAAAATTATAATACAATACCATAAATGCTATACTAGTCATGAACCAGATACTGTGGGAACTAAATGTAAGTACTTTCATTGAATTCATGGGTAAGAAGTATCATCCTGGAAACAAGTTTCTTATGTCTGTCACATTGTATGTATAGTACTGGACAAATTTCAATGTTAAAATTAAAGTTTAATTATATAAGTTTTCATCTGTGTAGCCATTAAAATAGAAGTTGCTATTATATTTAATAGCTCCTTTTAAAAGCACCAAACTGTTTTAATTAACAAAAAAATCATGAACACATTTTTTCATCAACTGCCAACAAAGTCTTCTGTTTGTATCATATTTCTAAGGAATTTCATCTTGTTACTAAGTCTGTTTTGAGGACTAATTTTGTCCTGACTATATTCTCAAAAGGAGAAAAATCAGAATTCTCCTTTCTGATTATCTATGAAATCTAGTATCTTGTTAGCTTTGTAATCATGTTTCATTAACTTCCCCAAGTACGTGCAAAATACTCTGAGAAACTGTACATTTCAGAGCTATATAAGAAGGGAATCATATATTTTGATATTTAATTAAATGTGGTTAACATTTATTGTATAATATTTTATTCTTTTATTATTTCCTGTGTTAAACCTTTAACAGTTTCAAGTCTTAGCAATAAGATAAAAATCCTTGAAGAAAATTATCATGTAACATTATATACATAGTAGTTACTCAGATATTATTAAATACAGGAATATGAAAGTATTTTGCTAAAAATATATTCTCCTAGAAGACTTTCCAAACAAATTATATCAGGATAATGTGAGAGAATGACAGGGAATGTTGGAGAAGGTGCTCTTCCAAGGGCTTTGCGTGTAATAACTTATTTAATTCTCTTAACAATGAGATAAATATTAGTCTTATAAATGTTATCTTAGCAGGGTCTCTAAAATATATGCTTTTTCCTCTACTTTTGACTCAAGTGACAAATAATAAGAAAATGTTATTATCCAAAACTTGGAAGTATAGGAAAAGATAACTGTGTGACTTACATTGTTAAGTGACGGCATTGTCTAACAAGCTCACTTAAAGGTCTTCTGTCTTAAAAATGTAACTTTCCTTGACTTGCTATTTACTGGTATCCATGACAACATTTTATAGCTTTGTAAGCACAGATCTTAACTTGCAGAAAGCCAAGAGGGTGCATGTGTTTATTTTTCTGGTAGTAGTGCAAATGGTTTCAGCCCAGTAACAAAGATCACCTCAAAATTCATGTCTGGCCCTGTCAGACAATACTCTGTTTTTGTTGTTGTTATTCTAATTTAGCAATCCCATTCCAGATTTCTTCTTTTCTTTCACTGACTCTGTATACGTGGGTCAGTATGTTTTAGTATAATGATCAGCAAAATAATGCCCTTGTGGATTTTCTTAACAAATTCAATAAAACTTTGACTATGCATCTACATGAGAATGATATTGTCTTAAGATTTTGAAAACTGTGTTTGACAACAAATGACCACTTTCTTGAATTCTTACTGCATTAATCCATTTAGGCTGCTATAACAAATATTAGTAAACTAGGTGGCTTGTAAACAACAAACGTTCATTTTTACTCTTCTGGAGGCTGGGAAGTCCAAGACCAAGGTGCTGGCAGATTAGTGTCTGGTGAAGGCGCATTCTTCATAGACAGTGCCTAGCTGTGCCCCCACATGGTGGATGGGGCTAGCTAGCTTTCAGAGGTCTCTTTAAGAGCACTAATCCAATCATGAGAGCTCCACTCTTGTGACTTTATCACCTACCAAAAGTTCCCACATCCTAATTCCACTACCTTTGGGGTTAGGATTTCAATAAATAAATTTTGAGGAGACAAATGTTCAGATCATAGCACCTGTTAACAGGTTAACTCTCCTATAATCTCTGCCCCAACTTGCTATCAATCTTGTATTTCACTTTTTTTTTTTCAGATGGAGTCTCACTCTCACTCTGTCGCCCAGGCTGGATGGAGTGCAGTGGCACGATCTCTGCTCACTGCAAACTCTGCCTCCCAGGATCAAATGATTCTCCTGCCTCAGCCTCCTGAGTAGCTGGGATTACGGGCACCTGCCACCACACCCAGCTAATTTTTGTATTTTTAGTAGAGAAGAGGTTTCATCATGTTGGCCAGGAACTCCTGACCTCTGGTGATCCACCCACCTTGGCATTCCAAAGTGCTGGGATTACAGGCATGAGCCACCATGCCTGGCCTTATATTTCACTTTTAACCCAGCTCCAAAACAAAATAAAACCATTGCTCACCAGGGCAAGCCAGGATTCAATGTGAAACTCCAGATACTCTGTGCTAGATTTTCAGGACTGCCATAACAGACTGTCACAAACTTGGTTTATTGATACGGTGGAAAATGGAAACTTATTCTTTCACAGTTCTGGAGGACAGAAGTCCAAAATCAAGTGCTTGGTAATACCATACTCCCTCCGTGGGCTCTAAGGAAGAATTTTTTTTTCCTCTTTCAGCTTCTGGGAGCTATTAGTATTACTTAATTTGTGGATGCAAAATTCCAGTTTCTGCATCCATCTGTGCAGTGCCTCCTCCTCTTCCGTGTTTTCTCCTCCCTGTCTGTCAAATATCCTTCTGCCTTACTCTTGTGACATCTGTCATGGCATGTAGGTCCACCCAGACAATCAAGGATGATCTTTAAATCTCAAGATCTTTAACTTAGTTACATCCGCAAAGATCCTTTCCCCAAATAGCTAACATTCAGAAGTTCTGGGAATTAGGATATATTCATATCTTTTTGGGGACTACCATTCAACCCACTATGCTGCCATATCCAGCCCCAGTTCAGCTGTCTATGCTTACCTCCCAGTGTTTCTTGATAAGTATTTCTGTTTATTTCTTGATCCCTCTCCTATCCCTAACCCACAGACTTTACTCTTTATGACATGTTGCTTTTGTTGATCATAGAGTTTCTCTGCCTAGTACAGCTCCCCGCTCCTTTTATGTATCTAGTGTACAATCTTCCTTCAAGCAGGCTTCCGCTGTCCCCATCCCCAGCTTCCCCAATTCCAGGCTGAGTCTGGTGCTTTCTCGGATGCTGTCACTGCACTGTGAACATACTCTTATTCTGTTGCTTCCTGAATTTCATTGGCTGTCCCCTTCTGTGTATATCTGTATCCTCCATCAATCTTTTCCTCAAAGAGCACAAACTGTGCACAACCTCACTCAGTGTCTGTCAATAACAGGCATTTACTAAGGGTTGTTAGATCGGTCTCTTACTCAAAACCTACTTGTTTTTAACATTTAGCTGACGACTTTCTTTATGTTTAAACAAATCTAGCATGTGAATTATAATTTATTTTGTGTTCTGGTATTCCTCAGCTATCTTTCTTGTACTTGGTTGGTTCACCTAAGTTACTAACTTTAGAGGATAAAATTCATGTCTTCTGTGGTAGATGCATTGGGAACACAGAAATAGCTCACTGGATTTGTTCACTTAATCCCCAGTGGAAATAGAAAAAACATACCTTGGGAGGAAGATAACCTGGCTTAAGTTTATCTTTTACTTTTCTCCCCATTAGAGAAAGTCAGACTTCTTAACAGTTTACTAATGCTTTAGAACTAAGAAAAGTTGTGTTCCAGTTGGAATTTCTAGTTTCTGGGTTTTAACAAACTGTCAGCTTTCATAAAGCACATTGGTAGAATTTAATTTTCCTTCCCTATTTTATATCTTAATCATAACCACAGTACAAATAATTTGTTGTTTCAAAATCTCCATTCACTCATACATTTTATTCTTGTTGACCTTGGCTTATGCAATTTGGGTGGAAAGAATCACTAACTAGGAGAGGAATATTTGAACTTTGATTTTATATTTCAGACAAAGTCTTAACTGAGACTTCAGCCACATGAAAGCATGAAATTATTATCTGCCTACTTTGGGAAAACCACCAGTTTAAAATATAAAAGAATTGTATTGTGTGATAGCTAACTCTAAGAAACTTTATTTTCTATTCTTAACTATTAAATGAATATTTGGGCAATGGAAAATTTTTGTTTTCTATGGCCTTATGAATGTTAGCCTTAAAATCATTTAAAAATTCACCTGGTGTCAGGTATCATTAAAAACTCCATATTTGTGCCAGATTAACTGAAAACTTTGGCCCCAGATAAATTGGTGGATTTTGGCCAAGTTTTAGGCAAACTTGGGTCTTTCTTTATTTCAGGTAGAAAGAACATAAAGCTCTATGGATTCTTGCCCTCTGAACTAAACCAACTAAAATTCAACAATTTGGCCATGATTTCCTTAGAGGTTTCATATATTTTTTCGGCTATAAAATGTAAACCCAGGTCAAGAGGCATATACTGAAACCTCAATTTTAGTAAGAAAAATATTTATGAACTAAAAGTGGAAATTCTACAGAAACTTGGCTGAGCAGAAAACTTTAAAACTGGAACAATTAACTTAGACTATTTGGGAGAAGCGAATCTTTGAATGTAATTTGCTCTCTTTTTCTGTTCTCATAATTTTAAAGAGCTTTGCGCTAACAAGCTTCTATGCTGCATTACAATATTTTGATAGGTTCTGTAGAGAAACTTCTCTTATTTTTTCCCTTTGCCTTTAATGTTTTGACTCTTTACTTTGAATCACTCTTTTATTTCTTTTTAATGCTTTTCTATTATGAGGAACTTAGCAAATTTCCCTCAAGGACTGAATCAGAGGGAACAGTGAGTGAATCCAGGCAATATTGCCCTCCATATTATGCTCCCTTGTGATCCTTGTGTTGACCACTTTCTCTGAACAAGGACACAGCTCTGTAACATAGCATGACTGAAGATGAGTTTCTTGTGTTTTGTGGAAACACTCCCCAAGAGGTGAGGAGGTGACCTCTATCCCTCCCCTTTGTCTAGACATCTCAGTCCTGGAGCTCACAATTATTTCTAAAGAGTTTCTAGCTGTTCTCACCAGGAGTGTGTTGAGGCCTTATGCAAATAAAACCTCAAGAGGCTCACCTAAACTTATCTGAAAAGTCTCCTGAAGATTCTTCAAACAACTTTTCTCTCCTTTCTTTTTTTTTTTCCAGTAGCCTCTTTACCCCTTTCCACAAAGATTTCTATGCCTCAGAACAAAGTTGACCTCATCTTGAAGAGAAGATAGAAGGGAGATAATGCCTGTCAACATCTATCACAAAATGTTGCTCCAATTACTGATGAATTAATAAAAAGTCATATACTCTCTTCTGATGCCCATCATCTGCTCCTGTAACCCTTATTTCCCACTGTTCTTCTATGTAGTGTATGCTCTAGTCAAAAATTTGACTCTTGCTATCATTCATTAATTCCTTCAATCAGTGAGTGTTTTTGAGTATCTACTATGTGCCAGACACTATTCTAGCCTCCAAAGATCCATTAAAACAAGCGAAACAAAACCAGACACATTTCATGGTCTCCTGGACCCCATATTTTAGTATAGCCTGGGCATTCCAGCTTTGTACCTTTCTCTTCTTTGGTGGTCCCTCCTTAAGTATTGCCAGTCCTAACTTTCAACTGGTCCCTCTGTTTCAAAGTTGTCTTGAATCTACAAAGTGTCTTAATAAATAGACTTACTCTTAACACTTGCAAGGTTGTGAGGCCTAGGATTGAAGTATGAATGAAACCTACATACTATTTGCATAAATATTTAAAAGATACAAGTTCAACTAAAAACTCTGATAGCTATTTAATTTCAAAATTTAAAAAATGTGTAAGGCTGTGGTGTTTATTTGTCTAAAAGTTGGCAAAGCATCCAAGATTACTACGTGTATTTTTGAGCATATCTGGATATTCTGTGTTGATTAGCTGTTAAAAATTTTAAATGTTTAATATTGCAGAATGTTGCTCAGCTTCCCTGTGCACCTATTGCAAACATGCTAATTTGCTAAAGTATGAATGTGTCCACATGCCACACCTGGAACCTGCGGAGAAGAACAGCTCAGCAACAGCTGGGAAAGATGCTTCATTATCAAGAATCCTTTACACCCATACTGAGAACTGTACAAGTTAATTAATTTGTGTTTTCTCTTACCTAACTCTTCTGCTGCTCACATCTTTCCCAACAAAGTAGTATCATCTCTGAAGTCAGCAGCAGCTGGCCTCATGCCATTTCATACCATTCTTGTGCAGTCATCTTTTGTTCTGGGGACAAATGACAAGAGGTTCGAGGAGTTGATTATTTGGGACTTGAAGGAGGTTTGACATGAGAACCTGCATTTAAAACCACAGGTTGGGCTCTGCTTGCTGGACCCCAGGTGACGATATATCCATGTATTCTGTTATAAATCTGGTTTTGTATGTTCATAATGTGTGGCACTCTCTAAAGCATGAGACCCAAAGGAGGATATTCTTACACAGGCCCGAAGGTAATACTTTCTGAAGGAAACTTTACTTGGACTAGGAGTGATCTATAATTCTGAAATCTCTAAACATTGCATTTTTTTGTAATGCCTGGAAAAATGTGAGAAATACTATAATACTTCACCCATACGTCATATCGCCTCATAGAAAAAAAGTAGTATTGTTTGAATACGAAAGATATTTATTTGTTTTTTTCCACCACCATCTATGCACAATAGATTCAAGATTATAAAGCATTATTTTAAAAAATATTGAACAACTAAACTAAGTACAAAAATGCAAATAACTAATTCATAATCCTTGTTTTCTTAAACTTAAGAATAAGTTTTATACATCTCTGTGACAGGGTAATTAACAACTCCCACCACCAAATGGCAAATGTGAATTGCAGTGTGGGTGGGAGAGGAGTGAGGGAAGGAAGAAGCGTGAGAATCAGTTTAGTTTAAGAGGAAATTGGGAAATACAAATGGGAAAGCTCAGAAGGAAATAAGAGATACAGGATTAGAGGGCAAGGCAGAGATTAGGATTAGTGAATGATTTTTGCATTGTGGTTCAGAAATTATAATAATATTTGCCTCTGTGGTGATAATCAATACACTTCATAGGTGTTTCCTATGTGTTAATGATTCTATTGAATATTTTACACATACCAGTTCATTTAGTCCTTAGAACCACATGAGGCTGATGTTACCACAGTCCTTCTCTTTGAGATCATGTAAATAAGGCTTTGAGATGCTTACTTGCTAACAGAGCCAGGAAGTGAACCCAGGTGTATCTGACTGCAAAGCTTCCTTTTAATCACAAGGACATTTGAAGTCATTGGATAGGATTCAGGCTCCTTGGAATAGGGCAAAGAAAAATAAAAGAAGAAAAGGACAGTTAGAGAATGGTAACATCTGGGAGAAGAAAAGAAGCTTTATTAATTTGGCTAACTTATGAGTGAACAAAATCCCACTTGAATTGATTTAAGCAAAAGAGGGAATTTTAATGGAAGGCTAAGCTATGAAAGAATGGGACAACCATGATTGGAGAAAGGTCAATATCTTTTATAGTATCAGGAACCAAACCCCAGCATCAAGCTTCTTTCCCTGTCTCTTAGCCATGTTTCTTTTCTCCGTATGTCAAGCTCATTCTTATCTCTTTCTAAAGAGTTTTTTCCATGTGGCAAGAACTCAGGTAACCAAAATTTCCAAAATTTTAATAGCTTATGATTTCAGTCAACAGAGGCACATTGGAATGACTCTTTGGCTCTTGAGTCCAAAAATCAGGATGAGGTACTAATTGTCCCTGCCTAGGTCAAGACATACCAATAGTATTAGGATGCTTTTTGCTGCATAACAGAAAACACGAATAACCTCTTATTGTATATTTTTCTTATATAACAAGAACTCTAGAGGGAGGAGCTCTAGAGTTGGTCAGGGATAAATGATGTCAAGGGGCAGATTATCTAGGATTCTTTTAGCATTCTGTGTGGGTAGAAGCATTAATGCTGTTGTTGTCATAGCCATATCCTTATGGTAGCATATGAAGCAGAAAAGAGGCAGGAAAAATAACTCTCCTTGTATGACATTCTCTTTTTATTTGGAGAGAAATAGCTGCATTTCAGAGTTAATGGGATCTGAACCTAATACAATGTTAGGATCTTCTTTAAGAAAAGCAGAAAAATATTAAAATTAAAAACGGGGCACAGGGCTTTGACTGGAGTCATTGTGAGTGTTGGCCTCTAAACTTCCTGGTAAATCAAGTCTCTGTTGAATTTCTTTTGTTTCAGTGGTTGGACTGAGTCCCATGAAGCCAGATAACTTCTGACTGCAAGGAGCTTGGAAAAGCAAGTATCTGGATCTTTTACCAGCTAAATTTGGAGATAGGTATCTACCAGACTGGGGAAGAAGAGGAGAAGAATGGCTGTTGAGTGCAGATCAATTTGTTTCCACTGAAGTCTATGGATGAAATATTTACGCATAGCCGAGGTATAGAACTGTGTTGTAAAATGTGGTTGATTTGGTGGTAACTATGTGGATGGGTGTGATAGGCTGAAGTGTCCCCCCGCAAGTTTATGTCTACCTGGGATCTCAGAATGTGACTTTAATTGGAAATAGGGTCTTGCTGATGCAATTAGTTAACAACTTTGAGATGAGTCATACTGGGTTTTAGGTGGGTGCTAAATCCAATGGCTGTCATCCTTATAAGAAGAGAGGACACACAGACATGCAAAAGAGAAGACGATGCAAAGATGGAGGCAGAGCCTGGGGTTATGCTGACAGGAGCCAAGGAATGCCGGGCGACGTTAGAAGCTGAAAGAAGCAGGGAAGGAGTTTCCTCTATAGGCTCAGAGGATGCATGGCCCTGCTGACACCTTGATTTCTGGCTTCCAGGCTCTAGAACTGAGAGAGAATTAATTTCTGCTGTAATAAATCACCCAGTTTGTGGTCATTTACTGTGGCAACCTTAGGAAACTAAAATGATAGGGTAAAGGGCAGTTATCAGAAGGAGCGGATGTGGTGCTGGTAGACAATCCCAAAGGTGTCCATTGTAGAATTTATGAAAGGAGCTTAGTAGCAGATGGAGTCATAGTTAGTAGTAGGATGAGGGCCAGGTTAGTATATTGCCTTGATGTTACAACAAGGCATGAGAATGTCAGTGCCAGGAAGAGTGTACACTGAGAAGTTGAGAAGAGGGAAGGCATGATGAGACAGGAGGACAAGCACCTGGCCTTTCATCTAGACAAACTAATTCCTAAGCATTTCTACCTCCTTCCTGAGTCTGCCTGTGAATGCCCTTCACGTGAAATGCTTGTCACCTCACTCTGCTTGACTAATTCATTGCCGTTCCCTTTGTGAAACTGACATTGAAGGCACACTCCTTCAGTGTTCATGTTGTTGGTGTGGTGGATGTGTGTGTGTGTGTGTATAGAGTGATACTTTCACAATTTTTTAGATTTCTTTTTGTGATAGGATATATATATATATATTTTTTCTCACTCTGTCACCCAGGCTGGAGTGTAATGGGGTGATCTCAACTCACTGCAACCTCCACCTCCCAAGTTCAAACAATTCTTCTGCCTCAGCCTTCTGAGTAACTGGGATTACAGGCGCATGCCACAACACCCAGCTGATTTTTTGTATTTTTAGTACAGATGGGGTTTCGCCGTATTGGCCAGGCTGGTCTCGAACTCCTGACCTCAAGTGATCTGTCCACCTCGGCCTCCCAAAGTGCTGGGATTACTGATGTGAGCCACCATGCCTGGCTGTGGTAAGATACTCGTGAAGTTATTTAGGAGGTGTTTAATTAAAGACAATGGCATGCAATGTGTATCTTGTGGAGTCCGAGCATAAGAAAAATAGGAGACACTGATATTAAATTTTATGTATAAGTCTTCTGTATTTAAATACAGTTATTTAACAAAATCTGTTATTTGGAGACAAAGAAGTATTTCATATATTTTCATTTTAGACATAAAGGAAATCAACTCCTTTGAAGTAACAAAATTTATAACTTTATATTATTTTGACATAAATATACCTAAAACATATTGTATAGTTCCCTGGATTCTCATACAGAATGCATCTTCTCCCTGCTGACCCAGGGTCAACATTAGACACATCCATAATTGTTCTGTGTAATATTATAATGTTCTGGGGCCTCTTTCCTAAACACCCTGACAATCGTACTGCTCTTTTCTCTTGCTGTGAGCTGACCAGCTGTGCCCCTGCCTGTTGCCAGCACACTCCCCTCTCCTAGATCCCTGTTTTCCTCTGGTGCAGTTTTTAATTCATTGTGGCCTGGGAATCCAGATAACATAGCGAATTAGAAATGATCTAAATGTAAGAGTGAATGCCCCTGAGGGAGCATCTGTGGCCTTCTCTGTGAGTTTCTATGGGGATCTCTCCTTTGCATTCGATGCTGTAAGTGTTAGTGTATGGATGGCAGACCTATTTTTCCTTTGCTTCTCAACACTCAATTAGATCCAACAAGCTAATGAAATTCATGACAGCATGCAGCAAAATTCTGTATAGGAAGTTTTTTTCCCTTCTTTCCATAGTTTCCCATGTTCTAAATTAGTTGTTCTAATGTTATCTATGTGTTTTTGTTTCATCTTAGGATATCAGCGGGATAATATTAACTGCCAAAATAATTCATTAGTTGTAAAGCTCCATCCTGGGGAGTTATCTTGGCTAAACTGTGGATAATGTGCCTCTTGGTTTAGACCGCCTAAAAGTCATTATGGTCAATGACTGACCCACAGCCACCATGTGAAAAACCTGGGGTTAACTAGAAAGTAAAAACTGCTGGAACAACCTGATTGTGCCAAGAGGTAGTATGTTAAATCTACGTAGAAGTAGCAGAAGTTACAGGAAAAAAAGCCGGTGATTACCAGGATGTCACGTTGTTTATGAATCAGGTTGCTGAGTCTTTGAATCTTGAGATGATATTTAAGTCAAAATTTCAAGAGTAGGAATTCTGAGGTCAGGATCAATAGTGTAGTTGGGTATTAGTCATTTGAATAAAAAGCCGGCTTTTGAGCTAACCCCTTTTCTCTTAGTTCCTTTTCCTAATTATCCTACTTTTCTCAAAAATGTCACTCACAAACTCTTTTGCTGTGAGAGTTAATAGAGAGGTGCATAAAATACACATAAAAATTTCAAAAGTGAAGTATAAATAGCCATAGCCTTTCAAAATATTATTCGGGTTTAGGAAAACAAGTGCCTTTCACGTCATTCGAGCACCGGAGGATGATTCTAACTGCAGATGGGCCTTTAAATAAGTGTGAGTTTGCTGCTGCTTCTCAACTCCCAGTTGGATACTGAAAAAAAAAAAAAAAAAAAGGATCTTTCTCAATTTCCTGTTCTTGTGCCTTATTAAAATCCTTCTGTTGCCCCCACCGCCACCCCTGCCTCTTTCTTCTTTTCCCATCTTTTTGTGTGGAGGATGTTATCCACAGTTCCCAGCAGTGATGATGCATTTGAGTCAGGAGGATGAGATTGTGACCCAGATACAGTGCATGAGAAATGAGTGATGGGAAGAGAGAGAATGACGGGCGGGGGAGGGGCGGGGGGGCGGACGGGGGTCGGGAAGAGAGAGAGAGAGTGCAGTGGTGAAGGGTTATGAGTTGTACAGTTATTTCTAGCTTTGAATGGTTTCCAAATCTCATACATTCACAGACAACCTTGCCAAAGCCCACAGCTGTCATGCATTTTCAACAGATTCCACAGGGCCTAGATGAGGTTTGAAGGCATTCCTTTGCTCTTACACATTAGCTAAAAGGAATTACCGTAACATCTGATATTGTGGAAGTGGGACATTTGCCATCCTGACCTTGCCCAAAGCAGTCCGGAAATAGGGGTCTAAGGATGTATTATCTCATACGGCCCCTAAAGGTCACCAGGGGCCTGTTGGTGGCGTTCTGAGAAAATCCAAGCACCCAATATGCTCTGCATTTGGAGAGACTGGGCTGCTTTGTATGGACGCAGTGGGCAGACACATGTTCCCATTGCTCGTTGGATGTTTGTCATAGGAAAGGCATGTTCCACTGGAGAAATTCCCAGCTGTCAGTAATGTGCTGATATACCACAGCCAATCATCAGAGGATGAGCCAAATAAACAGGATGTTCACAATGTGTGTGATTGCATGAGTGTGTAACAAAACTTCTGCCCATTTCACAGCCTCATAATGGGATTGACATGCATTGCTTAATGCATCTGTCTGTTTAGGATAGAAACGCATAAATACCATGGAAACCATGTGTAAGAAAGCCCTTTCTTTGGCTCTATGGACTGTTGATATGACAGGATGAAATCTGGTATAAATTGGGAAAGAACATCGCTTTAATATTATGAGTTTGCTTGCTGGGAAGTGCCTTGAAGTCATCCAAACACAGATGAGAAGGAATAATCAGATAATCGGTAGCTATTGTGAGTTAACAAAAGGGGCTGAGTTGATATGAATATTTTTACATACCAGTGGCGTCATCTTCATTCTTTCTTCTTGTAAGACACTCATTAGTTGAATTATTTATATAAATGTACAGAAACGAGTCAAAGTTATGTCATTGCCCTTTTTGTTTGGATATGCTGCTACTGTTAACAATTAGTTTCTAAATATATTCCTGAGGCAGCAGTTTGGGAAGGGGGAGTAGTGGTTCCTTCAACACTCATGTGTAGATAGGTTCTTGGAAAAATAACATCAGGTATCCTGTTAAGTGTCAGACCTTTTACTTCTCTGAGTATTCAAATCCCTTTTGCTCAAGGTGGCACATCCATTCATGATAATAACAGTAATAAATAACATTTATTGTACATTTCCTATTTGCTGGTACTGAGCCAAGCCTTTAACACGCATTAACTCTTTTAATTCTCACAAAAACATGTAAGATTGATACTATTATTATTACTATCATAATGATAAGAAAACCAGGGTTCAGGGAAGATAGTAGGCTTTTAAGAAGGTAGAGTTAGTAACAGAGCAAGCTGGAACATCTATTTATATAGGGTACTGAATCCATGCATTTAACCATTTCACTACATTACCCTTGTGTGTCCCTGCTCTGTGTGAAATTTGATTCTATTACAGTCTCTGGTGTTAATTACTTTATTGCATTGAAATGTGATTTGTATTTCCTTGAACAGGACTAATGTACAAAGATGATTTTGGTATCCTAGGGTCCATCTGTATATCACCACCCTAGTACAGTTGAAGATTGAGGAACATGCCATGAAGTCTTTGTCATGATTTTTCTCTGTTGTTAAGTTTTGGTCTTTTAATTGTGGTTATTATGTGTTGCTTTTCAAACATTGCCCAAGATGCACTGATTTAGGAAAAAAATCCCATGTGTCAGGATGCTACCTCCTAGTAATGTTAACACTTTCAATAGGTTTTATGTGATAAACACTGCAGGAAAGAAAAGGAGTTCTGAGTGTACAGAATCTGTGTGTTTATATTGGTTTATGAGATCATTAGAGACTTGTACTA